TGTGAATTTACTGAAGATGGCCAGATTGTGGCCGAAACGTCTAATGTTTTATTAATGTAATGATAATTAAATATCACAAACAATATCTTGTGAGGTGGTTTTTTTATGCTTTTCTTTTCATACATTTTGATTTATAAACTACGTTCGTTTTTATGATGTATTTAGAATTATTGAGTTGCGAAATAGCGAGCAATAACTGTTCCAATTATTGAAGCGAGATTGCGACTTTTGATTCTATCTTGTATAAATTATTGAGACCAAATATTTTACGTACAATATTTTGAAAAATTATTGCATATAGATATATTAGAGCTATCTGAAGATGTTTACTTATCTCAAATAAAGTTAGAAAAAGGTGAAAATATATTTTTTTCAAAGACAGAGAAGAGAAGAATTTTTTAAAATCTTGTTAACAAGATTCGTTAAAGATATATAGATAAAATCTTAAAATATGCTCTTTGATTGTGCAATATATATGAAAATTTTCATGTTTTATATTTTCACATCATTATTTATAAATATCTTATATTTATTCATGTGTTGAAGTAACTGTGTTGATGTAACTGTGTCATTGATGGAATAATTCTATTTGATTTACAAGAGAAGGAAATAAATGAGTACAACAAATAAAGCAAAGAAAGGTTTTCCTTGAGTTTTAGCCCTTTAGAAAAATAGTTTGATTCTATTATATAAAATAACAATGCTTCGTAATCCATTAGTGATGATGTTTACATTACTATCTATTCCAACTTCATAAACTAACGTAAAGCTGAAGAAATGAAGAGACTATTTGTTGTGCAAATAGTGTCTGAATTCATCTCTGAAAAATTGTATTAGGTGTTGGAATTAATTCGTAGCGTTTTACAAGTGATGGGAAGTACTTTCATTAATGTATTTTTTAATGCTCATGTGAAATAAATAACATTCTTTCATTAAAAAACGCTACGAATTAATTCCAACACCTAATATATATCTATTTGCAGTAAAACTGACATTTCTTCATCAAAGAATGTATTTACCTTAGGTATAACGAGTGTTAATTCCCTGTCTAAATGTATATTTGCTGAACTCCTAGAAAAATATTCTCCAGACTAGAAAAGTAAACTAAACAATTTTTGTTACGAGAGATTAGCATACACGTGTGCCATGACGTACAGTGATGGAAAGAAAAGAAACGATTCTAGAGTCTTGGACCCTAGTCTAAGGGTTTGATTCGCAAGGGAACAGAGCTGATACGTAGAATATAGAAAGGGGCACGATCTGCTTCTACGTTCTTATTAATAGAGTTGCATCGATCGTCTACTTGGTTACCAACGGAAAGCGTGCAAGTCAACGTACACGTATTCATGCGTTTCATTCGGCATTTTATTTGCGCATCATCAGTGGAAGTATTTTCTAATGTTCTTCTTTCTAGGCAATTCACATCTTAGGTAATTTAAACTCCGAAGCACGATACAACAGAAATGTTCGTCAATATGTTTGTCGCTTATTTAGTTCATATATTTAAATTATAGAAAGAATATTTTACGATCAAAAATAAAGTAATAATTTGTTATAAAAATTTTCTTTCAGCTTTACGTAATGTAAATCTCTTAAAAAAATTTAATTTAATTTAATTATCCGAAAGTTTAAGAGAAAGATTCGAAAGGAAATAGATAAAAAAAATCTGTAATTTTTTAATTAATTTCACGATACGAGTACATATTATTTTCTTGTAAATAATAATATTTATTAATTTAATAATAATATATATGATATAATATAATTTATACAATTTATAATAAACTTCAGTTTATTTTTAACACAATTTTTGCATTGTTAGAGCTGATTTCCTCTTATATAAGTAAATCAAGTTGATTTAGCGGAAAACTGTTCAACGGACATTGCGTGTGACACAGTTGCAGTTGCCCTAATTAGACATGTTTGTGAATGACACCTGCTTTGAAAGAAGGAGAAAGAGAGAGAGAGAGAGATAAATCGCTTACTGTAAATCGTTTAGCAACATAAAATGCACTTGACTGATTCTGACGAAGGCCGCTCTAATCGTTGAAACACGATTCCGATGGAACGTATGGCACGATGTATATACAAGGTGTTTCCGAAGAAAAGAAATTATGACTGCTTTAATGTCTTTAATTCACTTTTCTTAAATGAGCGACTATTCACTTTTGCAAATGTGGTTGATCATTCAGAATAATTATACTTTGTAAACACGATTAAAGAAATTGATAATCTTAATGTAACTTTATCACGGAATATGAATTTAAAATGGTATTCATTTCCGTATCTAAAATTACTATTTATATATTTACAAAAAAAATCGTATTGGTTTAGTATTAAGAAAGAATTTGTTAATCTGTAAATTATTTTTTTGAGATTACTTTTTGTGTCTATTGCGTTAATTATATTGCGTTTTAATTATAAATAGTTTGATCTTTGTCAATGATGCTTTTAGAAATTAATTTTAAGTGAAATAAATTAAGTTTGAGTGACCTCCATATTTATAGAATAACTATTCGGATTATAATTTGTATAGTTTTGAAAAGTTTAAAAAAAACGAATAGAATTCATTTTTCTAACGGCTTTATCTTATATAGGTTCATTTACTCCGAGAAATCTTTTCCATTGTAAACCTGTAATTACATCCGTTTCTCAGTTTTAATTAATACAGGAGACATGATGAGAGACAAAGAACCTAATATAAAGCGGAAAGAAGAATACAATTCATTTAATGAGGACGCCCGCATGGAATACGGGAAATCCGAGATTGAATTCCACATGAGGCAATATTTTTAACAATAAATTATTCTCAGGCTTAAGAATGTTCAGATTATTAACTCTCCGTTGGTAAGATGGAGTAAAAATGACCCCACAGTTCGTTTATTTTATATAGCATGTGCATTGTTTTTCGTTTATGTGGTCTCGGCTAACCTAGTTTCAATTTGTTCACTAAATGTCTTAGCGGTCGAAATCATTAAACTGGTAAATGACATATCCTTCCAATTCTTGTATGTCAAAGCTTCTTTATGCTCACGCTGCTTTTATGGTACAAATTCAAATAAAATTTTACATGATATTTTATAATGATATTTACTATTTGTTTATTATTTTGAGACTAAGGTAATAAGCTAAAGATTTTTTTATGACTAATGTGCAATGTCTTTCTAATTATTTTAATTATATATAAAATATTTCGAAACTGAAGCAATTTATTTACGTAGTACTAGTCAAAGTATTTTTTGTTTATTAATTTGAAGTATAAATTTATAAAGTAAATGTATAAATGTATAAAACTATATTTTTATCTATAAATAAACAGGGGATAAAGTTTCACGTTATTATTTCTTCTTTCATTTATTTTGTACATTAATTAGATGAAAAATTAGCACGAGATTGGATCGACCCCACCTTGCTGGACATATCCTAAAAGTCCACCTCAATGGAAGGTTAATGTTCTTAGAAAAATGTTTATTAGCATCAAGAAAATTATTTAATTGTTTATCAATTTATTACATAATATTACTTCTGATTCTCTTCATTTCGTTTCAAGACCGAAAATATCTCGGCGCGCGGTTTGCAGAATCAGATAATATATAAATTCACATAAAAATATTTAAGCATCAAGATCTGCTTCGATCAAAAAATAGACTTTCTCTCATTTAATTAGATTTAGTCTCATCGGTGCGATATATTTCTAATTATAATTGCAAATACATTTAATAAATAATAGCATATTGATATTCTAGGATTGCACGTATTTAGAGTTGTTATACTATAAGTATATTATTTATTTTACGAACATATATATACTATTTTCTTGTTAATGATAATATCTCTGGTCTGTGTGTCAATATAATACTTAAATAAAATATGTATTAAATACAGGTGTGTGTAAGACTTTTTATTGTCGCTAATATTTACAGACTTTCTTTTAGTCTGATCAATGTACGAGTATATATTATTATATTCGCATGTTCGTATAATACACATCAATCTAAAAAATATTATTGTTGCGGCACAACGGGACACATTTTTCGATCGTGTCACACAAAATCAAATTCCTCAAGAAAAATCTGACAAGATTTAAAAGCACTATTCTCTGCATTTTCAAAATGCAGAGGGTGAAAAATCAAGAGGGTATATCTTTAATTTACGTCAAAATAAAATAATGGGAGATTATTATCGTTGCGAGACTATGACGTTGAAAAAGCATGATATAAAACAAGCTTGTTCCAAACTTTAATTACAAATTAAACGTTTCTTCACGATAGAAAACCAATTTCTTCTTTTTTTCGTTTAATAAGACGATGAACGTTCATTCCTACCAATGTAGATATGAACATTAATCTCGACTTAATTTACTTTTTATCTTCTTCTAATTCTAAGAATTAAAAAGAGATAAAGAGAGATCTTTTACGTATCAAAGTAAAATGGGAGACTATTATATCGCTACGAGACTATTACGTTGAATAAACGCGCCGGTATAAAGCTTGTTCAAAACTTTGCTCGCAAACTAAATGTTTCTTTGCAAAAAAAAAAAGAGCCAGTCTCTAGTGTAAACTTATAAAGAGTAAATTAATCCGAGATTAAAGTTAATCTACATTGGTAGAAATTTGGTCGGAGAGAAGCGTTTAATTTGCGAGCAGAGTTTTTGACAGATCTAATATAAAATGTATCGACCACGGCAAATTAGAATCGATTATCCCGCGATGTTCCCGCCGTTAAAAACACACATTTGATCAATTTGACACACAGATTGACGATTGATTAAAAAAATCCGTTGAAGCTGCAGCGCAAACGCGGTGGCGATTTTCGTTGGAGCACTCGCGAAGGGCGGCTATGCAATCGACTCGAGGTGGCCAGCCCAGCCCTTTTTCGCGCGCCCTCGAGGAACGCGAGCGCGTGTTTGCGACAGCACTACCCCTCAAAGTGAGTCATCGAGCCTGGCGATGCCAATTAAATTTCCTTTCGACCCTTATCGAACACGAACAAGAACTCACTCGTCGAGCTCCTCCTCGTCCAGCATAAGACTCATCCTCTCCGCTTCGGAGCAGCGTGCGTTGTGCGATATGCGGATACGGGTTGATCCTCGCCACACTGCGGCAAGGGTGTAGTCCTCTCGATGATCTTCCGCAGGACTATAGCCACGGAAACGCGTCGCGACTCCACTGGCGCGTTTCCCCCGCTCTCTTCTTCCTCTCCCTCTTCCTCTCTCTCTCTCTCTCTCTCTCCTTCCGTTTCGCTTTATCTCTTTACCACCACCACGCTCTGTCCTTCTCTTATTATCTCGCAATTTTCCCCCCTCCGACATTCTCTGCCCTTCTCTTATTCACATTGTTCACTCCTTCCTTCTCCCTATCTCTGTCCTTTTCTTCCTCGTACGCCGTGTCTGTCTTTCTCCTTCTCTCTTCTCTGATTTCTCATACTTTCTTGCTCCCTTCTTTCTCTTTTCCTCCATTGCAAATTGTTCTTCTTTAACTTGCACAATTTCCTTCTTTTTCTCATTTTGCTCTCTCTCTCTCTCTCTCTCTCTCTTTCTCTCTCTGTCTCTCTGTCCTGTTTTTATCTATCTGTTTCTCTCTCAATCATGTATTCGTCTCTCACTCACTCAATCTGTCTTCCTCTTCGATTCACGCTATCCTTCTCTTGCACATGGATCAAAAGCGCTGTCCAGGAGTTCAGGTGGTGGCATACTCACCCCTCCTGGTGCATGCGCATTCCACGTACAGCTGCTCCCTTCTTTTAATTCTCTGCTCGCAGCTGTTCGACAAACGCGATAAAGATCTCCGTGTGGCCTATTTTACGAAAATCGCAGTTCAATATAAATTTATCAATAAATAAATAATTTAAATTAATTAAATTTATCAATAAACTTTTTAAAGGGCAATTTTCCTAATTGCATAAAGTTGACAGGAATGAATACACTAATTTATATTTTTCTATTTTATGCTTGATGAACACTCGATAAAAAGATGTTCCTCTCATCACAAAATAATTACTGTAATTTTAAAATTTTTCGAAATGATTCATATATAATTGTAAATTTTAATTAAATAATACAAAGACTTTTTTAATTATTTTTTTGGCAAAATGTTACATTTAATATTATTCAAACATAATAATTGATTTATTGTATATGTAATTAGTTTATAAACATTAAAATTGTTATGTCATCGTTCCTTTTAGATAAAATAAACATAAAATAGTTTTGCGATTTCCAAGAATAAATTAAATATGAGTAAAATAATTATACCAGCCTCTGTTAATACATAAATAATATATTTATATTATTAGGTGTTGGAATTAATTCGTAGCGTTTTACAAGTGATGGGAAGTACTTTCATTAATGTATTTTTTAATGCTCATGTGAAATAAATAACATTCTTTCATTAAAAAACGCTACGAATTAATTCCAACACCTAATAATATAAGATGATAAGATATCTATAATTTACAAACAGTGAAATGTACTTATCAACAAAGTTAAGTACATTTTATTTGTTTACGAATTACATCTTATTGCCTTATGGCTTATAAATATATTATTTGCACTGATAACTGTGGAGACTCTCGTATAGACATTTTATTTAAATTTGGTTCTTCTCAATATTAAGTGAGAATTTAAAGTTACATGTTTAAAAACGATAGAAGAATATTATTTTATGTGTTTTTGAAAGAGAGATAATTCCATGTCTGTTAACAGATACGTTATCTGATTACGAAATGTTCTTACGTATAAAACGTATAACAGGAAAGAGCCAATGCAATATGTTTCATATAAGAAATTTTCTGCTATCTCATTTCTATTATGCCTTCTTTATTTTCCGTAATGCGCATTATATTATAAAAAAGTTGGAAATCATTCGTATTTCTTCTTTTATTCAAAATAATTATTATACACAATTTCTTTATAATAGAATATACGTGTAAATGCAATCAATAACAATTTTGAAAAATATAATAAAACCTACATTATTAATATGAAAATTTTATCTTATAAACACATTTCCTCTACATCTATTTTATATCAATAAAATATCAAAAATATCAAAAATTTTAAGAATCATATTTCTTAGATTTTGAAGCTTGGAGATTTTCAAACTTCAAAATTTTGAAACTTCAAAAATTTGAAAAAACTATTAAATTCATCGACAAAATATCAGCAGAATATAATCATCAAAGTTGCACTATTTAAAATTTCAAAAATTTTAGGAATTTCATGAGTTCGAAAATTTTTATTCATTTTATTATTTTACGAATGTGTCTTGTTTTTTCTATCATATTTTTATTAGAGATCGGAAGTCTATTCTACAATATGCTCTTTGTTTCCTGCTTCTTGCTTTTTATCTTTTACTTTTTTCTCTTTTACAATCGTTTTCGACAATTGTATTTTTTGTTTCGTATTTCTTATTTCTTTCAAAGTTCGTTAACTTTTCTCGAGCGATATAAAACAAAAAATCGGACAAGAAGCAAAAAGACAAGATGTAAAAAATAGCAAAAGCAAAACATAGGAAACAAAAAACACATTGTAGAAATATAGGCTAAAGAAATATAGATAAACGGAATGAAACAACACATAAGATGTTGGCGTTGAAAATATGTGGGACGGAAGATGGATCGTTGTCAATTGAGGGATGACTTCTTTCATCACACTCGTCGATACTACTGTCACAAACTGTGTTTATTTTTATCATTAATGTATATTATTTATTATAAATAAGTTAGAAACATTGATTTTGGGTTTGATAGGTGTTTACAATTTTATACACAGAGAAAGAATATCCAACATATTTTACGCTCCCAGAAGGGTGGTTTACGCCTCCTGACGAGAGATGATTTACAAATGAACCTAACAGCCCCTTGGAGACTCTTGCACGTCGTTTTCTCGACTGTTTCTCGATTAGGGTTGTACAAAGCCTAGTAGTTGCAACCGATCTCCTTTTATGTTTATTTCTTGATAAAGTGTCTCTCACGCACGCACAATGAAAATCACTCCCTCGCCTTCTTTCCGTCTTGCCTCTTCTCTCTCTCTCTCTCTCTCTCTCTCTCTCTCTCTCTCTCTCTCTCTCTCTCGCTCTCTCTTTGACCAACCCCTCTATTTCTTTTTCTTACATGAGCATACGCTCACGCAATTGCACAAATACGCATACATATGCACAGACGCACCACAATAATGCACATACGCATATACACACATTCTTTTTCTCCTCATTCACTCATTCATATTTCTCACTAGCATCGTTTTGCACTTCGTGTCCTGCACACGCGTTATCTCTCCCTCCCTCTCTGCCATCATCCGTTTAATCACGCGCTCTCAATGAAAACCAAGCAGTATTACTATTATTAATTATTATTACTATTATTATTATTTTATCATTATAATTATTATAATTATTATTATAATTATTAATGTTATTATTCAATATTATTTGTTGTATCCGCTTAATATATAATATATTATCCAATGTATTTATATATATACTTTTTTTTTCATATAAACTCAGTGTTCCAACCAAGGTGGGTGTGACACAACTAAGGTATATGACACATACTGCCCGGTGTATGTGCGTCCGCGACATCGGCGGAGTCTGATGACGTTCGGGCCGCTGCACGCATTGTGTCCGAACGGGAAACAGTCCAGACCCGGCCGATGTCACGTAGAGAGGATCATCTCTATCAGCGCGACGTATTCTCCGGGTTCGCGCGCGGCTCTTGCTATTCATCGCGATTACGCCTAGTGCTTTCGACTTGGGGAAATTGTCTCGTTACATCTCGCGTTTCCACCCTCGAAAAAAACTGGCAAGGTCCGGCTTGTCATTTCTCCTTGTGGTTTCTGCGCGTCATCATATTTCTCTTTTCGTGATAATGCTAGAAAGATCTTGATTTTGAAATCGAGCGAAGTGAAAAGAGGAGAATTTTTCGTTCTCTTCCACCAACGTGCGTATTCGTAAAATTTTATTTCTTTCCTGTGTGTTATTAACTATTCCATTCTTTTCATATCTTCTAATAGAAAAAAAAAATAAAAGCTCATCTCGATCTCACCTCTTGCCTCTTCCTTTTGAATTTTTCTCTATCAAATTTCTTACTACTTTATTACATTAATTTGCAAAGCTTTTTCTTAAATTTCTCAAATTCAACGTTAATTTGTTTTATCAACCACCTCCTCTCTTGTTCCTCGTTCATTTACTTTTCCCCGCGTCATTGGGGAAGGAAGAAAAATGGCGAAAATCGCGGCTTCGAGAAGATATCGAACCATCGGAGAGTACGAGCAACGGGCAGCGCGCTAGCCAATATATGACCGAGCGCAGGCAGTGAGTTCATACGTACGTACACAGTATAATGTGGATACGGGGCGAGCGAGAGGCATGAAGCCCCTCTCTTCCAAAGGAGAGGGGACCCATGATCTTGGCTGCGCGCGGTGGCTGTGCCGTTGCGTCGGAAGGGCGAGGACCCGACGAAGGGAGAACCGTGACAAACTCCTCCTTTCTTCATCATGCTTAAGAAATTCATCCTCGAAAAAACAATGTGTGTGATTCGATTTATAAGAAATTTCTCGTTCTTAAAGAAATTGTCTTCACAAATCGAGACGAGATTCCTCGTTCCTGTAAATATTATCAGGACCACATATTTTTTTTTTTTTTTTTTTTTTTTTTAGAAATTTATCTATACAAGATAGAATTTCTCGTTCTCGAGGAATTTGTTCTTGCAAATTGGAACTTTTTATTCTGGAGGGATTTGCTCGCAGCTCAAGGAACGTTTTTCCTCGCACAACCCGCACGCACAACCGGCAGAGAGAGGAGACGGCAGAGAGAGATATCTGCGGGCTCCTCCCGCGCGCCTTAATTATCTAAGTCACATCGAACAAACGCAATTCTCCACAGTATCTTTCGCTTCCGCAAAGTTTCCCTCAATACCCATCTCACACACTCTCTCCCTCTCTCTCGCATTCATTTTTACTTTCTTCCTCCTCTCCTCCTCTTCGCCACGGTTGCTGATATCTTTCACTCTTTCTCTTTCTCGCTTTCTCTCTCTTTCTCTCTCTCTCCCTCTCTCACGCTCTCTAATCTATATCATTCTTTTTATATATTATATATAACAATATTTATATGATGAGTTTTTAATGGATTCGAATCACATGCAGAAAGAACTTTGAGTCATTTCTGGCATGGATAAAAAGGAAAAAACAAAAAAGACTTTGGCTTTCGCGTAACTCTAAATGAAGGATGTTCTCATAATTTAGCGTTTAGTACATTTGAGAAAAAAGAAAAAGAATAAGAACAAGAAGAAAACAGAAAGGAAAGAAGAAAAGAAAAACAACAACACCACACTAGTAAATGGCACTAGAATTGCTTCTCTCACTTGTGTCATCGAATCTAATTCGCGATTAAAAAGCCGGTTTTTTTAAATTTTATTTTATTTTTTCGTTCGCTTCGCCGTTTCGCCTCTTCAGTTTCTTCTCCTCTGTTGAGATCTCTTGGACTCGAGACGAACACAGACGGACGCGCCGTTAAAAATCCACGCGGCACAGCCGCGCCGTGCGCCACGCTCACGCGCGTGAGACATATAGTTCGCCAGCGTTTCTTCGCTTTTATATATATATATATATATATATATATATGTATATGTATATATATATATATATATATACATACACACACAGACGTACACACACACGCGCGCGCACGCACGCACGCACGCACGCACGCACGCACGCGTATATATATCTATATATATCTATTATATATATATATAAAAGTCAGACAACGATGCCCGGGACCCTCAGGTATTGACGCATCCTCGGTCCGGGAGTGGGGCGTATTTGCCCGCGATATCGACTAAGAACTAATCTACAAAAGAAAGGTAACAAATCCCAAAACGGGAACCTGTGTACGAGAAAACCGAATCGACTCGCGCGAGTTGGTATCGACAGTGAAGAGATTTTCTCATATCTCTCTTCCTCCGCTAAGAAAAAGAACGCGTAACGCTCGTGACGCTTTTAGGTCCTTGTTCGCCTTCTTACTTCGCCCCGCTTTTACGTCCTTCATAATTACGTGTGTGTATTACGCGTCTTAGCTACTTGTGCTGGTACAACACTTTCGATGCGACGAAGTTCAATGTGGCGCAACGCATGTCGATATATGTGCGTATACGATGGCACCACGAGTTTGTCTCGTTTCTGTCTCGCGCCTCTTCGTCGTTCCTCACGTCGTTCCACGGATCACGCTCGCGAGTCAACGGAGTAGCAGTCTCGCACTGATACATTGGTCAGGGTGCGAGAGAAACTGGTCGAGTCCGCTCGGATTTGCAGCGCGCTTCGCCGTCTAAACCAGATTGTACTCCTTCAGATTGGACTGTAGAATGGTGTCCTTTACCGCCGCAAACACGAATCTGATATTCTCCGTATCTGTAGAACAGAAAAGTCACATGTTCAAATATCAGAATGTATTCTTAAAACTTGTTCAAGAGAAACATTAATTGGTTGCAAGCATTGTTTGGTACATGCCATAAATTATTTTCTTTCTCCTCAAACGAAAGTTCTCTAATTTATCGTTGTAATTTAAATCTTTTGATTTTAATATGCTAAATATTCTTAGAAAATTGATATTTAAACTTAAAACTAATGATGTGACTATGTATTTATAAAATATATCACATCATGCTCTGCTAGTTATTGTGAATGCTGTATAAATAAATTATTGAACCTTAATAACTAAGGATTTTTAATATTAAAGATGTTTTTCATTAAAGATCTGTTTTGAAAGAATTAACATAAAAATTAGCGCAAAACAGAGATCGGCACTTACCCTAAGCAAGAAGCTTCAAACTCTGTGACAGTCATGACACACATGCAGCATGCAATTTCCTTCAAGATACTTTTTATAACATTACGAGAGAACGAAATCATAAACATAACTTCTTTTTCAATACTTGTTTTAAATAAGCTTAAGTAATCAAAGATTAATAATGCAAAATTGAAGAGGTATCACATATTTAGTTATATAGAGGTCATCAGTTTTGTTAAAATAGATTGAAAATATTAGAATAAACATATTAAAGTGTGAAATAACTTATCTGAAGTATTTCTATGAATATACATATATATACATATAATAATTTTACACAATCATCATAAAAATATTGTATATCTTCATATAAGCAGCGTTTGTAAACAAATATAATTTCAATCATGAATAATGGAATTTCTATTCTTGTCAGACTCTATGACAATGTAACAGACAAAATAAAAATATTAAAAGAAGCCTTTATTAAAAAGGTATATTAGCAATGTAATATGTTGCAAAAAATAGATTAATTTTAGCAATTATTAGAGTAAACGTCAATTGCTATATTTCTTTTATTTAGGGATTACAGAGCTTTAATAATATATTTTTTACTTAATGTATATTGTTGTTGTCAACGGTAAAGCTGGCAGTTATTTTCAAAGTTTTCAAAAGTAAAATTATTCGCAGTCGACGACTAATCGCCTAGAATGACACAGATTTAAGTTCCGGAATAAATGTTAAAAAGCAACATTAATATTTGACAAATATGCAAATAACATCTGCCAAGCAATCGCTTTACTAATTGGCCACTTCTATAATATTTGTTGGTTATAAGTTTTGTTATAAATCCATTATATATACAATACGTCATTCTCGGCGTCTAAATATTAAATAATATCGTCAAGAATCTGCTAATTATATCTATACAGTCGCGTTAAGCAAGATTAAACTCCTTAAGCGCGGTTTGCATGATCGTATCCTTAACAGCGCAGAATACAAGCTTGATGTTTTCCGTATCTGATGGTTAATTCCATGAACGCAGCATGCAAAATATAAATCAGGCATCATTGAGATTAGTTAGCACCGTTTTATACCTTTGAAAAATCAACCCGATTCCGTATTTATCGATATTTACATTATTTTACTATTTTCTTCTAATATTCGTAATAATTCAGTAAATCAGTAAACACTGAAAAATATACATATATACAATACTTATAAAATTATATATATTATATAAATAATATTTATATTAAATTAAACCAAGTAAATTTGAAAGATTAGAATTGTTACGTTAAAGATAACTAATACATTATTTGTGCTATTCTGTTGCTTTGAAAAAAGATGCATGTATTTCATACATGCAGGTTGATTTTCCGTGGTACATTTATAACATTTGATTACACACCTGATTATACGGAAGGCAGGCAACATACAAGCTCTGTACAAGACACAACACATCGAAGAACTGTTATAAAGCGAAAGAAATATGATATTTTTGTACACGGGAGTTATCAAGAAACTAGCCTACCTGTGGCACACGTAAAGTGGGAATAAATAATCTTCTCGCTGTCCGGATTTAAATCAACGAACATCCTTAGAATGAATTCTCTAGCTGCGAGAGCGTCTCTCTGTCGACCTGCGAAGTACACAAGCGAGGGAGGGGCATGGCATTACTTCTGTTTATCTACAATGCGATTATGACTACTGCGTAGTCAGTATTTTTTTTTAGCGATCGTTTAACGACGAGAGGATTAATTGATATGTATCGTTGAGATTTTTGCCAGGTATAAATACGACATAATGTAAGCTAGAATTTAACTAAATCTTCCGTGTTACGGGATTTCTAAATGTTTTACAAGATAGGAATGAATCTACATCCAGAAAATATCATCGGTTTTACTTATATGCACAATATAACGCGAAACGCAGACGGATATCGATCTAATTTAATGTAATAATATTATACTTCACTCAAATCCAATATACACTCTCCAAGGACAGCTTATTAAATTAATCGTAGTGAACATCAAAGAAGCCTTTCGAAAGCCTCATTAACAAGCTAGAGAGCTTATGTAAGAACATTGAGTATAATTTTACAAATTCGAAACAGTTGCTTACACGTTATAGTTCGTAATAAAATCTAAAAGTCCTTTATCGCGAATAAAAATTTGATAAATCATTTATTATTGTCGAAAAATTTCAGTTTAATGTAACTTTTGCTAAATAAATATTTAAAATTTCAATATGCCGACGTAATTTGCATTAAATGTTCAGTAATTAATGGCATAACAAAATTATAAATTACAACACAGGATGTGACACAGGAGTGTTCTGATTATTACTATTAGATTAACTAGCTTCAATCTACATACAAGTTAATTTTGTATCAAGTAAAATACGTACTACTGATTATCATAAATTATACGCAGAAGTATGGATATAGGTTTGGTATGTATTAAAATAGCCTTGCAAATAGATTATCACTAATAATAAACGCGAATTCAGAAACATCGGAGCGGTAAAGTTACAAAAAAAGAGCATGAAAATCGCACGAAATATCACATTATTAAATCGTTCGACAAATAACTAGGGAATCTACGTTTTCTGTTCAGGATACACTCAGTACTCGGACAGACCTGTGGCACACGTAAAGTGAGAGTAGCACATTCGGTCAGGATCGGGATTACAATTGAGATACACCTTTAAGATGAACTCCCTGGCTGGTACATCTTGTTGTTTCGGGCCTATACCATAGAACTTATTTATTTACCAATATCGAGATAAATAATTTTATCGCATTTTATTCAGCCTGTGTGTCTTGAGATAAATTAATAATTTAATAAATATCGATTAATACTTTGTTTTAATTTTTTTGAGGGTATTAGAACAGTATAGCTTCAAATATATCTTCATCTTTTAATAAACTTCTTGCGTTTATCAGAGTTTATTTTTACTTCCAAATATGAAATAAGATGTTATCTGACTAAATTAACAACAAGGTAGTTAGCATTTTATGCCGAATGATTAATGATAATCCGTGGATATTTATAAAAAAAAAAAAAAAAAGATATTACAACTTACCATCATATTCCGGAAAATAGTCGACAAGATGAGAGTACATAATCTTTTCTTCTAACAGATCTTTCTTGTTGAGAAACAGGATAACAGAGGAGTGTTGAAACCAGGGATATGTTATAATCGTTTTGAACAGTGCTTTACTTTCTTCCATTCGATTCTAAAAAGAATCATACACACAAATGAGTTATAATATCATTCAAATTTATCGATAATTTCTATATCTTATAAAAAATATTATAATTACCTCGTTTTCCGATTCAAATAGAATTTGATCATATTCACTTAGAGCTACTAAAAATATAATTGAAGTGACGTTTTCGAAACAATGGATCCACTTTCTTCTTTCCGACCTCTGTCCACCGACGTCTACCATCCTGCAAATAACATTCTATTAAATTGAGCACTGTTACTAGTGTGCAAATGAAATATAGTCGAATCTTCATATTTTTGATTTAGAATGATTAATAACAATTAATATAGAAATGTATGGAATAAATGTATTTTAAAAGATTATTACACAAAAGAAAATATTGGTTGCTGTAACAATTTAGATAGTAAAATATGGCATAGCATTTTTAATCAGTTGCAGCAATCAGTTTTTAGTTGTAGCAGCAAATTTTTAGTTGCGTTAGCCTATCGAAATCATATACTGACATTGTTGATAGGTTAACGCAACTAAAAATTTGCTATTACTACCAAAAACTGATTGCTGCAATTGCCGATTAAAAATTCTATGCCATATTTTACTATCTAAATTATTGCAGCAATCAATCTTTACTTTCAGTGTACATATATTTAAAAAGATTATTTTAAAATATTTTCGAAAGCAGCACAAGAGGAAAAGAATATGAAGATTCAGCTACATAATTTTCCTAACTACCAAAAAATGTAGTCTATTGAATATGATCTCTACTTTTTCAAAAAATACATAGGACGAATCGGATTATAAGACGAATAGGTCTTTAAATCTCAACAAACTCAGTGAATCAAATGCAATGTGTTGCCTATACGTTTACTACTACTGTGCTCTTTATCTTTCATACGTTTTGAGGATCTTGTAGGAATTTGTAGTTTGCAATAAAAATGGAAATAAAATAGATAAAACTTTTTTATCTTTTTTTATTATATATGTGATTAAAAATTGACACTTATTTTTAAGAAAGTTTCTCTGTTTGAAGATTTAAAATCAAAATATAAATTTAAATTAATTATATTAAATTTAAAAAATAGACTATTATATGTATATATATATATATTATAATTACAAATTTTTAAAAATTCTCAATTTTATTAATGATCTATATAAAATAAATAAGTAGTTTTTTTACCTAATTCATTTTGATTTATATAAAATCCGTAAAACATCTAATTATTCTAATACATTCATAAATGAATACATATCTATTATTCTCAATCGCAACTACATAATTATAAGTGATATTAATATAAAGTTCACCCCATGCAGTAGCATTATTGTAACTATACACTGAACAAATAGATAGTGAACGAACAGCGAATGTAAATTTAAGCTGTTGAAAATATGCTGTATAGAAAATTATTCACGCCACGATAAATGTATAACAGCACATTCGTTAACGTTTAATTTAATCCGCTCGTAAGGTACAGTACGTTAAAGAAAATTTTAAATAAATTTATTGTTGCATTTGCTGTTCATTCGCTTATGTATACCCATTTAATTGAACAACCTAATCAAAAATGTAAAACACATAAAAAGGCATGCAAACGTCAAAGCTTCTTCAAAATAATTATAAAATTATATACATATATATTGTATATAATTATATATGTATATATGTATATAAAAAAACTCCTGTTCATCCTTCTCCTTTCTCGGAAAAATGAAACAAAGGATATATCATAAAATTATTTAAATAAATGTTAAATTATATTCCAATTTTTGTAGCAAATAACATTAAATACTTTTAATAATTTTATTAACAGTCAAATTAAACTACTGAAGCGATCGACATACAAATAAATGATACTTAACATATACTTTTATATTTTCAGAAATTAAAATGTATTTCTCTATATTTTTTATTAATCTAGATCTTCTATTCTAAGCGATCTAATTTAGAAATAATTAAAGCTATGATATTCGTACGAAGAAAACGATCTACTTTAAATTCATCAAAAAAATTAATTTAAACTCATTTAAGAAAAAGAAAATAGTTTGTAGTCCATTGCTTTCTATGTATAAAGATATCTTGCGAAAAATTCGAGCGCATGATCGAAGATATAGAATCGGATTGAAAGACTATTAGTACCTAAATATGATGGAGTCCAGATCAAATGGATATTCTATAATTCCGGTGGTGGGAGCTCGTGCCCGGAGGATGTCTTGCTCGGTCGGAAGGAAATCAGGCTTTTCAATACGCTCTAGGTCACTAAGATAACTGCAAAACGAAACAAAAAGCTGCTGTCTGGAAGTGCATGCCATGCGTGATACATTTAAAAAATATATATCTTTAAATATAAATATCATAAAACAAGGAAATGTCATATAAAACAGTTCTCATACATGCTTGTCCATTGGTTTAGCCTGAAAGAATTTTTTAACGTCGATGGTATGTCTTGAGACTTACTTTATATATTTATGATATACTTTTGTTTTCAAGATACGAAGTTTGTACACGAAATCATGCAGATTTCTTTAAAATAGAAGATAGTACAAAGATAGTACTCGTACACCTAACTTTTCTCGCTTAAATCTGTTGTCTATTTTGTTTATTTTATTTTGTAATTGATGCACAAATAAATAGAATGAAATAGTAAAGTTAATTGTATTCGTATATATGTATATGTATATATATATATATATATATATATATATACATATACATATGTACATAGATTTCAAATAAAAGATAAAATTAAATTAAATATCACATATCAATTACGCACGTTAATTTTTATCGACACATTAGATACCAAAAAAAAGAAACTGTAGTCTGCTATAGATCTGTTTTAGATCTTTATGAAGCAGAAAAAATTTTTCATTTTCATCTATACAATTAAGTCAATTCGATCACATCTATATAATATGATAATGAACGCGACTACAGTTTTTAGCGAATTAAAAAATCTTGTCGTCAATGTTGTTTATATTTAACAGGAGAAAGTCACAGGTTTAAATAGCATTGCATGGAACGGGGAATAGGTGAACACTTAATTGAACAACGAATCCTAGGTGCAACGAATATGTTATAGAAGACAAAAATAATGCAGAAACGGCCCGATGCAGGTGGTTTTGCAGGCGCAGGCAGCTCTCTCCTTCTTTCATCATCTTCATCGGTCGACCACATACCTAAATCGGATTTCTTCCAAGTCAAAGGGATATTCAATTATACCGGTGGTGGGCACTCTCACACGAAGAATGTCCTGTTCTGTGGGGAGGTAGTTTGGTGCCGCGACTCGATCTATCTCCATAAGGTAACTGAAACATCGTGTTCTCAATACGCGATGTACAGGAAAGAGGAAAAGAGGAGAGGAAGGAAGTAAAGCCACCGTGAGAAAATTAAATCGTGTCCGTGCGCGCGTGAATATCAGAAGCATTGCTTCGAAACGCAAACGCAAGAAGGATAAGGTAGACACGTGTTTAAAGATTCAGAGACAAATCTCGGTAAAATCTTTGAAAATGAAGAGCTTATTGAAAGGCCTTAAGTCAACTATCATTCTCTTTTTCTTCAGAGAGAAAATGGATGGAAATATATTCCTATATATATTATATGTTAAAAGGCAGTCTTTATTAAAAACTGACCCAAGCCCTTTTGGAAAGGAATTGTTTGGATATGTTTGCCCGCGCGCGCGCGCGTGTGTGTATATGTATGTGTGTGTTCTGGAGGCGGAAAGTACAAAGTATTTTCATATATATCGTACACAGTTCCGATAAAAAATATTTGTCGTTAATTTAATGTCTCCTTTCGTTTGATCAGAATTGTATAGACGAATTGATAAGATAAAATTTCTTTATAAGAACATAGAAGTCAAGAGTCTTGATGCTTTTCTCAAAAGAAAAATTCTCAATTTGTTGAAAACGAATCAATGAGAGAAAGATTAGTGTTGAGTCGTCCTGTTACATAAGTTTTTTCGGTGAGGAAATTGAGGATGTTATAGATGGATGAACGGGAGGATAATCTCTCGGTAAAACACGTGGACAAGCATCAGTTCCGCGACAAAAAGACGGAGTATACAGTCGAAATACTTACTACTTGGCGGAGTCCGTGAGCTGGTATTCCCGTCTACGATCGTAGCACTCCTGTATACCCGCGTCCGCCCACAGATCCTTGATTGCCCCCACGTACGGGCTCTCGAATGTCGTCACCGTTTCAAAGTCGACACTCCGCACCAGTTCCGCTTTTTCCTGAAAGGAAGAGGAAGAAAAACGTATGAACTTAGGGAAATGACGAAGCGATATTACAATGTATAATTTATGAGTTTCCGGTTTGACGTATCGGCATGTCCGATATCAAGTATGCGATATGAAATTATCGTTAACCTTCTCATGTGCTGCACAATTAACGCTTTAATTAACCCTTTAACGCGAAGTCTGACCTCCATACGATCGCAATAGCAGATTTAAAGCGTTTGGTATATCTGATGTGTACATCAGATATATATTTCGGAACCGTTAAATTAAATAACGCATGATAGGATCAGTAAATTAATTAAAGAAAGCAAAAATTATAATGTAAAGTGTAATATTTTTATCAGCTCTGGAAAAAAATTATATTGCACTAATTGGAAAAAATTCTGATTCAATCAGAGATTCAATCAGAAAAGTAATCAGATACTTGTAATTAAATTTATTAAACATTCTAATCTAGCACACGATATAATTAGAAATTCGTTTACAATAACCGAAATTCTAATTGATAGAGTCAGAATTCATTTTTTTGTACTTCTTGTTGATACACAACGAGAACATTTTTCTCAGTAAAGACACTGCAATAAAACTATAAATTTACATCTAGTGTCGCTCCAAAATGCCATAGAAATTTATATTTTCTATAACAAAAATGAATTATATACATATGAAATAATTCAATAAAATCAAATATTTACATTTAAAAATACAATTTTATAGTTTAAATGAAAATTTTCTCATTTTATCTTAAAACACGTCTACTTTTAACCGAAATAATATTTTAACCAGTTTCTAAATCGTCAAACTTTTTGTATTATTTTAAATATAACAGAAAAAAAACTGTAATCTTTTATAATTTTTTCATTTTGTTTTAAAATATACATATGATGCAGTTTGCGATATTTATTTATTGCTGCTGTAAAATTCAAAAGTTTTTTTTGCATAGACCTATTAATTATGAGCAATCGATAAAATTGTGAATGATACTCACTATATTCGAGGAATCGCCATACTGGATCTTCAGGAGGTCCATCGCCCGGATCATGGACTGCATCGCCATAAAAATGTTTTGGTACACAAGTTTGATAAACCCCCTCTTATCCTCGTCCGAGTAGCCGGAGCCATGGATAATCCTCATCTGCTTAATGAAGGTGGACTTGCCCGACTCGCCGGTTCCTGTGACAAAGTTTCGATCTTTATTAGCTCGCTGTCAAAATAAATAAATAAAAGTAACAATTTTTTTCTTTTAGGGAGCGAGATATTGTGCCGAGATTTTCGACCGGACGTATTTGAAACTTTTATATAAGATAACGAAACGCAAAATTTCTGGGGATTAAATTATAGTAAATAATTAACAAATTATTTAGCTATAATAATATTTAACTTTTCGGTCATGACGCGTGAATGCCGTTTCTAATTTATTAATAAAGAAGATAGATGATATCAAAATATAGAGAGACACATTGTTAAACTTATTATATCAAATTGTACTCAATTTGAGTTATTTTTAATTATTTCTATAGGTCGTCACTGCTCCTACGCAATTATGACATTAATTTAAATAAAACAATGGAGTCAAACAATTTAATTCAAGCAAACGTATTTGACTTGAATTTAGTTTATTATTTACTAAGTACATATATCAATATGGACGTTATTTACTTTGAAAGCTAGCCACAGAAATGATTTACATTTTGATTCAAATTAAGTTAAAAATTATAAAATGTGTTAACTCAAAAGATTGTATTACCATAACTTCTTTGATATCTAACAATACAATATACTGTTCATTATTAAGATTAAAGCCAGCGGCACATAATGCTTGCTTGTTTTCCTACTAGATTGCTAACTGAATTAGAATTTTGCTAGCATATTGGCTGCGATGCTGACAATGCTGACTGCACTGTCTAATCAAGCTGGCAATCCAGCAGGAAAACAAACACCGTTGGCTTAATTATTTTCATTTAATCGGTATAATACAACGAAACATTGCAAATTAACAACATCTATGCGTACACGCATATAAAATTTAAAAAGTTCCACTATATAAAAGAGAAGGTGGTATTACGGCTAATATAGATTAAGGTACATTTAAATAGGTACACACCTATTTCTCATTCTTCTTAAATTTGAGCGTACTATTACACGAATATATGCATATTTGAGTGTTTTGTTATTTAACTTTTACTTGATATACATGCGAATAAGTTAAACAATGCCATGGCATTTTGCTAATGTGGCCTCCTATTCGTGTTGACTGTTGACCTTTTTTTTTGAGATTTTCATATCAAATTATTCCATAAATCGATTGTAGTTCTGTACTGTTATATTACCTATAGTTCATATTATATATATTATAGACTTTTTAGTACTGAACAATTCTATGCGTAAGAAGTATGTGTACATATACATATACATTCGCATACATTCCACAATATTTTACTTTCTTGTTTTTTATTTTCTAACAAATATTGTTTTTTAAAGAAAAAACCAATTTTTTTAAATTGTAAATCTATATTTGTGGAAGGCTACATTACCATCCCTATTTTTACAAACGGTGTGTTAGGTATCTAATAAATATTTCATAACTTCGAGTTCTAGAATCGATTGAACAATGCTTTGGCGAATGTAATCATTAAATTTCAAATTTAAATATTTATTATTAACCAAGTTAATGTATAGAACGTAGAATGCCATAATATCTGCACCTTCTCCTCTACATATAACATATATATATCGACACATTTATGACTTTGCATCTCGCGAGTCGCGCGAAGATTGTCCGCTTCTGGAAAACGGCAGGGTGATTACGCCGGCTAGATTCAAGAGGAGGGAGAGGGGTTGCTGCCGGCGCGGCGACGATGGCACCGGGCGGTGCTGGCGCTGATGCTGTTGCTGTTGCTGGAATCATGAATGAACGCGACCGCGCGCGGCCGGCGTGACGTGCGGCAGTTTTCTCAGCCTTACGAATATCACTCCCAAAAGCGGAGTAATAATAATATCGCATTGCGTTAGGAATGTCATTCGATCTTTGGTTTTTCTTCCTTCAAATTGAAGCTTGAGGAAAAATCACGATTGCGGGCTTTCAAGATGAATCATCGGAAATATAGAACACTGGCGGAGAGACATCGCTTCATAACATAATATAAGGCATTTGTTAGGCGTATACTGTTAAATATCAAACCTCTTATTTTTAACTTCTACATACGTTAAAATGCAAATCTATTTCTGTGATTAGTTTCAAGGTAAACATCGTCCATATTAATGTACTTGATAAATAATAAAGCAAATTTGAGTCAATGCAGTTTCTTGAGTTAAATTGTTTAACTCTATTGTTTTAGTCAAATTAACGATATAGTGCGTAGGAACAATAGCGACCTATAGAAATGACTAAAAATAACTTAAATTGGATATAATTTGACATTATGAATTTAACAGAGCAATATGACCTTTTAACTGCTTTGAACAATACACGTAATGTGCATATATGGAGTAATATATAATATATAACATAAAATATCCTGATAGGTATAATATAATATAATATATATAAATTATCTCTCATAAAATATCCTAATTGACAGATAAATTGAGAATTGAGTAAAGTCTGGACTGGAGCATTTAACTCTTTCTGAATAGTATTGTAAAATACATAGAAAAGTTATATCGACAGAAAGAGAGAAATGTCATAAATGTGCATTTTTTTAAATTTCAAACTTTACTCACACGCGCGCGCATTGCAGGAAATGTAAAAAATTGTTATGATAAAATATATTACGTGAAAAACACTCAACTGTTCATTAAAAATTGGATGAGTTTTTTTAGAATCGAAGGAATTCAATAAAAGAGAACGAGATGAAAGCCAATAATTCCAAAAATCGCATCTAAAATGAACCTTATAAATTATGAACGAAACTCATCCGTTTTTCTCCGAGATGCTAAAACTTTTAATCTGAAATTTCTGAAACTCTTTCATTATCGATACATTTGGTGTAGAATATTTACCAGTTTTCGATCGATAGCTTCCCTGGAAATGTTTTCAGCTTCGTCGAAAAATCTATCTTAAAATTAAATGATGATGAGAAGTGAGAAGCGTTGCGTTCCGGGTATCGGTACACTTCGAGGAACCGCTCCCAATTCCGTCAGATAAGGGAATGAGTGTTTGCTACACTTTCCGGATGCGTAATAAATGTTGGGCGCGCAACCTGAATCGATCTTCATGCACGCGAGCAATATACACTGGGTGCAGAGAAAAGAGCTTTTTATGCGCGTCGCCAAGAAAAGACGCTTCGCGCGCCCACAAGCACACGCCTTTCTCCGCCTTAATGAGGATGCAAAAAGGCCACCGGGCGTACGCGATACGCCTTTTATCGATGAAGACGGCCGTGTGTTATCAATCGAAAAAACGCATCTCAATCTGCACCCCTCTCTGTCTTTCTGCACTCGATTGGCAGCGTAGATATATATTTTGTCGATTAGGAGTAAGTAATTCTTTGCGTCACGATAAAAGAAAACAATCTTTGCGTTAAAAAATTGGAAAGTCATTAATTGAAATCCGTGAGATTTTTTCCTTTGCTTATCAATTATCTTTCTAGATATCGGACGATATCAGAATCATTAACTTATCGCATAAAATTCAGGATATATATTGTTTTGAAAGTGAATTTTTAGGAAAGAATCTTTAAATGTTAAGTGACAATTACACATCACGTAAGATAATTGTGAAATTACTATTTTAGATAATTCTGTTATTATTTCGTAATAAAATAATTTCACAATTATTCCATGTGAAATTATTTTGTGTTATCTTTTATAACAATGAATATAAAAAAGTCTCAATTTCTTATATTTTGTACTATTGTAGAAACGTTATCAATTTTCAGGGGGGCATTTTTCAGGGCAGCCTAATATTAAATTAGAAATTATATTAAAATCTGATTAGATTTGTCGGGTCTTCTCAAGATTTATATGAGGAAATATCAATCACTTAAGAAGAACCTGTTTAGATGCACGGAAAGAACAATTTTGCTCAAGTATTTAAAAATTTAGCTATATAAATATAGATTTGAAAATAATTTTGTTGAAACATCAAATTAATTACATAGAAATGTGAAGCATGATGAGCAATGTTACAAAAAGTTTTGACATTCCAGTAATCAGTTTGAGTGTCCTATTTAATTATTTTGGTCCAATAAAATTATGCATTTTTCAGCGAACTCACTTAAATCCTTACTAGTTATTGTACGATGACGAAACTCACACGTGCAACAACAGCGCGATTATATGATACGGGAAGTGCGTTTGTCGTGCTTGTTTGCTTAGGTGCTTAAGACTGTCTTTGAAGTCTATATCTTCGTTGAGTTATGGCTCTATCGCCGATCAATGTCAACGATGATTACATCCCGGTGACTGCATCGCGCGCTAATTTTCTCGCGAGCCATGCTCAGTTATTATATTAATCACAGTACAGTTAATTAAGATGTGCACAGTTAATTAAACTAGGTAATTCCCTATCGGTCGCTTTCTCAGAAAATTGACCAGAAAGTGGCAAACTTTCTTTGTTATCCTCTTAATTTTTCTACTTTTAATAATAATCGTAACACACACACAAATTATATTTCTTATCTATATTTTTTTTATTTATATACATATATATATTTACTTTTATGTACAGTATTTTCATATTAATGATATATACAAATAAATTAAGGAAATAATTAATTTTGTAAACTTCCTATTGTTTTTTTTATTTTACTTTTTAATTAAAAGAAAAAAAATTCAAAATGAATATCAAGTTGTTACGATAATTAATTTTTTCATTAACAAACTTAATCTTTTATTTCTTATCGATCTACGTTGCTGCGACGTTTACTTATAAAAACGAAATTGCTTTTCATTTATCGATGGATTTCAAGATCGTTTTGTATAAATGCTATTTTAGTTTCATGCGACGTGTGCTCGCGGCGCGAGTATAAACGGGTTAATATTAGCTCACGACAACATTCTCTGATTGTGTGGAGACATCGGATGGCATTGGCAGCGATTTCGCGGGATCCCGATCAAGATTGACTCTTGAACGCCAAGAGGAAAAGCGAGAAGGAAGCGGGTTAATGAATGAACGAGAACCGATGGTGGGCGTAAAGCACAACCTAGGCTCTCTTCCGGTATTCCTTCAA